GTGTGTGTGTGTGTGTGTGTGTGTGTGTGTGTGTGTGTGTGTGTGTGTGTGTGATATAAAATAAACTTGGTTCATCAAGGGTGCAGGTATAGGTCACGAGATTAGTGCATATGTGTGGTAGTCAGATTGTCTGAACATGGCTGTGGCTCAGGAAGTCATCTTGTTTGACACAAAGACGCAGACAAACCAGACAGCGACTGACTCCTCTTTTCGCTTTGAGTGTTTCCTCTCAGAATAAATAGCTTCTTCATTTCCCACAGTTTCACAAGACCTTAAAAGGGACGGAGGCGGTATTAGTGGAGATGCGGATCTTACACAAAGACAAAAACTCACATACAACAAAAAAACTCAGAGTTTAACCTTTTGAAAACTGATATTTTAGAATTGTTCATAGGTGTTACTAAGACTACAATACAGACATACAGAGTCTGATCGAAGTTTTGTCACTGGCTCAATATGTTTTAAACAATGTGTTGGATTTTGACAGTTTTATTAATTTAGTGTGTGCAACTTCTGTTAAAAACTACCGTCTGTTTTCTGTGTGAAAAGTACAGTAATACCCACTCAGCAAACTGTACCTACAAATAATTTGTGTGTGTGTGTGTGTGTGTATCTGTGTGTGGTGAAGGCTGTGGACTTGAGCTGCATCCGGCGACCTCATCCCCCTCATCCCGACAGGATTACTGACACAGGATCCCCCTGCCCCTGGCAGAAATAGCAAAGACCCAAGGGCAATCCACCAGAATATGGGAACTTCCGTGGGCCTTGCTTGTGCGTGAGCGTGTGTTGTTTATATGTGTGTGTTCTCTGTGTATTTACATGGGTAAACTCTTCAAATGGGGCTGGTTTCCTCCCAGGTGCTGAGCTCGCTGGCTCGAGAACTAAAGTTATCTCAGACTGTACTCTGTATATGTTTTTGTATTAGATGTGTACAGGAACTTACATAATGAGGAGAGCACTGGAGTAAACAAACAAATGGCAGGCCACATTGCTGCTGAGCCTATTTACACATTCTGCACTGAACCCCATGAACCCGGGCTCATGTAATCTTATCCCCTCTTTTAAGCTCACACTCATTACACATGTATCTTCCACTAGTTTATGAGAATAATGTAGAATACCAGATATAAATGTGTGCAGTCAAACTTTACGGAAAGAGTCACTATGGATCTGTTTTTCTGCAGTGGGTCACAAACAAAGCTGGGCTTCACCATAATGGAACTTGATTTTCATTCAGAAGCACAGATCAATCAGATCAATACTGACCCTTTGCCATCTCCATTCAACCCGTGCAAATGGTTTTGGTGTCCGTCTTCGGGGCTGTCTCGGCCTATTCTCCTCCACGTCTTTTGTTTTTACGAATGCTCAGCTTTCTCTTTGCTTGGCGTTTTCTGACAAGCATTTTGTCGATAACCTCCTTCCTCACCAGCAGCTGTAAGGATGGTCATGCAAGGCTTATTCATTAAGTCGCCAGTCGGTATGTGAGATTAGGAGCCATATTTCAGTTGCTGCCGACAGGTTCTTTAAATAAAATTATCCTCAATAATGTGTTTATTGCTTCCGAGGAGAATCAGCCGATGCATGGCCGAGGCCAACAGGGAGCCCAGTCACCTGTGAAACGTTGCATCAGATGAACAGGTGAACCCTGGACAGAATCAGGCAAAGCGAGTGATCAGGCTGAGAACGCTTCTAATGCATGATGGATGTGGAACTGGAGGAATACAAATGTCTCAGGATGAACAAAGAAGATGTCAACTTGAAACCATTTTCCACTGGTCAAAAAACCCACTAACATCCAACAACATCTGGCTTTCGTCTGCAATGGGAATGGATACAATCGGCATTCCGTCTAGGGTCAAATGACTCTTATGCAGGTTTTTATTGGCTCTGATCAGCAGTGATGGAAATGGCGTGTAAATAGACATTTTTGCGTACATATTTATTTGTTTTACATTGCGGGAACAAGGTGCAACAGCAATTTTTTTCTTCGTACGTGAGGTCGAACATGACTCACCAGGTGAAAAAACTGAAACACAAACTCCTCTACCTACAAAGGGAAAGGATTCAATTCAATCTCTCTTTTAAACCTGCATATACCCAGTCATTTTGATGTTTGGGAAAAAACTGAGATTGGAGATTGCTTTCCCCTGCAGAAGTTTTACGTCATGTCACTGCCCCCTGGATGCTCTACCCAGGTGCCACCCCACTCAACATTTTCTTCATATGTGAACTTCAGACCCAATTTTCCAGACATTTTTCAGGAGTTGACCCTCATTTCAAATTGATGGGGCTTGATAAGAATCCCAAATTTGGCTTTATTTCCCAGAGAGGAAAAAATCCAACACATGAGAATTGTATTCGGTCTAATAATAGCTGTGTTCATGAAGAGAGCTGTGTTGTCCCACTGTGGAGCTGATTTAATCCCCGAGGGGAACACAGGGAGTTTTAAGGTAAAGTGCATCAGTTGAGTGCATCTCTAAGGAGGTTTTAACCCTAGAGGGAACTTTTTTCTCTCTTCTTTTTCAAAGGGTAGTGCATATAAGACTGGGTTGATGCCACCGGGTTAGAGAAGGCTGTGCTTCTGTGGCTGGAGAGGTAGTAGCAGCACTCTGCTCTCTTGAGCCCCGTTCAAAAATGTCCCAGAAGCATCCAAAAGACTTTGCTTGCTGCTCCTGCCAAGGAAAATACATCTTATGAAATGGAAATTCTGAGACCATTCACCGAGTGCCAGGAATGATTAGAAAAAAAAAAAACTATGTCCATCTCAGTACATCTTGGAGTGAAGTCTCAGGGAAAACTCACGTCTCCACTGTTCTTACAAGGACACATAACATCAATACTGTTTACCTGGTGTGTGCTGTGTGCAGTGGGAGAGTTGTTAAAGGGGAACTCCGTCAATTTTATTCACAAAGTTCAGTTAAGTTATGATGGGAAGTGTTAGTCAGGTCTGACAATGTCAGCATTGATGATGCCGTCAGATATCAGACTCTATGACAGACTGTGTGTGAAACAAACTGTGGACATGTGGTTTCAAAGATGTGCACATGCACCAGGGGATGTTCTCATGAAAAAACAGCTTCGGTTTCATCATGGCAAAGGTGTCAGTTTAAAGAAGTTATATCTCAGCTTGTGTTGCGTTGATTTTCATTTTAGAATTTTGTCTTTTTTTTTGCAACTTCATGGAAGTACATTGTTAAACTGTAAAAAAGTACAACTTTACATGTACTTTAAGTTCATCATTCTTTTTTTAGTTTATCTTAACTTGTTGCCACTTGTTCCTCTTAAAGAGCAACTTCACATTAGACCTGTGGTGGAAATACATTGCAGCACCCTGCCTGAAAAAGAAAGACGTAAACAAGAAATTGTGAAACTATTTTTTTTCAAATACAAAAGTGTTTAGCAGTGCTCCATGAGTAAAGTTCAATAACCTTTTGTTAAGACGAAGCAAATGCAGTTTTTCCATATGCAGTTTTTAGGAAGACTTGCCGATGCCCTTCCATCACACTTAAGATGTTAAGCAACAATTGATTTTAATTTCAGGAAGAATGTCAGAATAGTTGGTTTGGTTTTCACTTGTTCTATAATTATAACAAAACACACAAGTACAAATATATGGTTTTGTCTAAATGTGAAGTGTTGGTTAGGTTTGCATCAATCGGATGTTATATTAATACGGAAAGTGATTCTGGGCTTTGAGTATGGGAGTATGCTGTTTAATTCATAAGCTTTATGCTTCACTGTGTGGAAGTAACATAAGGTCATTCCTTTTTTGTGGAAACATCAACATCAGGCTTTCCAAACTTATATACATTTACTAAATTGTAATTTGTTATAACATAGAATAGAACTGAAAGATCTGCCCCTATACAACTCAATATTGGGCCAATATATAATATTCCAATCAGATCGGTGCTTCCCTGCTGTCTGTGTTTTTTCGTTCCAGGGCATCACTGGCCTCTGTGGGTTGAAGGTTCAAGTCTGTTGAACCTTTGACCACACTGAGCGCTGTTATTTGGCAGCGCACAGTTACTCTTTAAAGTAGTAACTCTGCAGGGAACTTTTTGAATGACTCTCAAGACCAGAATGAGGCCAGCAAGATGAGGTCATGAACAGAGGCGGCCTAACGTGAAGCAGACTGAGGCTGAGATCAAACTCAGCTGTGATCCAGTTGTTGCTCTATTGTGTTTTAACAAACATATATTAGACGTTTATTTCCCCAGGGAATACGAAGGTGTCACTCAGACCATTCTTTTATTTTGTGCTTGTTCTGTCTTACCTGTCTAGGGAGTGAGATGTTAACGTTCCTCCGCTTGCACTGCCTTTCTAAAAGTTTCTGCACCGAACGAGTCAAAGAGAGGAAGTGGAGGAGTGTGCTGGTGAGCTCGTAGATGTCGGCTTGTTATCAGGCCAATGTGTCACCTAGGGGTTTCCAGGGGCACACAAGGGGAAAATGCGCAAACACAGGAAATGCTCCTCTCACGTCACCCCACACCGTCGCCCTTTCTCACCATTTTGCGGTTGTTTACTAGTTGATCATTGGCTTCAGATTTGCAACGTTTCGATGTTTTTCCTTCCCTCTCCTGGTTTCCCCTTTTTCCTCTCTCTCTTCTCTTTGGCGGAGGACCGGTTTGGAGGGGGAGGGGGGGGGGTCTGTTGGCATTCTTGCACCGTGTGCTTTGCGCTCGACCGGGCCTTGGCTCGGGTCCATATCCCCTCTCTACCCTCTCTCGCTTGTCCGACTAGTGCCCCTCCTCCTCCGCCCCACTATCCCCACCACCCCCCTCCCCCCCCCAACCTCTTCAACTCCCCTTTGCCGCTTTCCCAACCGCGGTGCCTGCCAGCAACCCTGCTCTTCAACAATCCCCCACCCACCCTGACTCTCTCGCTCACTTCTCTTACTATCACCTTCCTTAATCCGTCCTCATGTGTCTCCCATAATTCATTGCCCCTCTTCCACCCCCCATCTCCTCCATCGCAGACCGTGGCAGCAGGTCCAGCCTCTGTGACACAGATGCACCCAGTTGCTCTGGGCGCTCAACATGGGAACAAAGCATTGGCGGGGCCCGTCTGTTACAGTGTGTCTCTGGGTGTGTGCATGTGCAAGTATGTGCACAGAAGAGAGTACACACGGCCAGATACTAAAACTGCTCTCATGAGTTTGTTTAAGCTTAACTTTCTCCTCGACATGAAAATTACTTTCACTTCTGTGTGAGCGAACACCCAGAGACGGCGTCGAGCAGGTTCTGTCTTCACACTCGCATGTGCTGAGAGAACATGAACTCACGGTGATTTACACCTCCCACTCAACCAACACACACCTTTGAGCTTTTGTCCAGTAGATCTACTTCCTGTTTAGCAGTCAACAATGAACAATTACCTCAAGAGAATCCATCAGCGAACTGGCAGCAAATGTAAACGAAAGCCAATAGTCGTGTCATGAATTGAGCAATTCTCAGAGATTTGTAGACTTGTAAGAATTTGTACATGCTCTCCTTTTGTATGTCTTGAGGTTTATGTGGCGAGTGTGCAAACATCTGCATATGGGTGTAGGAGGGGTTGAGGTCATTGGGGTCTCAGAAGGTCTGAGCTTCCATCCATTATCCGCACCGCTTATCCTTTGAGGGTTGCAGGGAGAGCTGTAGTGTGTATCCCAGCTGACGTAGGCCAAGAGGCGAGGTACCAGAGACAAACAACCATTCACTCTCACATTCACACCTATGGTCAATTTACAGTATCCAATCAAACTAACCCCAATGTGCATGTCTTTGGACGGTTGGAGGAAACCCATGCAAACAAATGGCGAAAATGCAAACTCCACACAGAAAGACCCCGGCCGAACCGCCTCAGTGCCTGTGACAGTGCTAACCACCGGTCAGAGATTTCTTGGCGAGTCCCCCCCCCCCACACACACACACCTCTAATTGATCCAGATAGTCTGTTCAGGGTTGATTCGACTGAGCTTTATCCTCTCATGCCAGCTAGCTGCTATCGCCTCAGTCAGCACACCGAGCTGATAGCCCATCAGTGAGATGGGAGATAGCAGACCTGTGGGTCATAGATGCGGATATGAGGTGGGAGTTTGAGCTTGTACTTTGAAATGCATTAACAGGCACACAAATAAGCATAAACAGAAAAGAGAAGAGAGCAGCAGACACCAAAATATATATTTTTTTGCTGCTAGAACTGGCCTCAATCTTCACCTGCTCCCTTTACCCTTTTTTTAAAAACATTTTTTCTTCCTCTGGATTTTGGTGGGGATGGGAGGGTGAATGGGTGGGTGGGAGAGAGGGAGAAATGAGATGCTTCAACACTCCACTGCCCTCCTCTCCATCCAACTCCCCCACACACCTGGGATGGCCATTTCATTTCAGAGTGCAGCAAATGGAAAGGTGATCTTAATCTACCCTGTTTCCCTCTAACCCCCTCCCGCTCTCCATCTCCCACACACAGAGCCTCATACCACTGATGGACAGCACACCGATGGTTGCTGAAGCTCGCAGCCAGCGCACCAAATTTAGAGCTGGAGCAGACTGGAAACACATCGGTTTATTACCTTGAACAAATTCTCCTCATTTCTCACTCAACCTTTGTTCTTATTTTTAATCTTTTACTCTTGTGCTCCTCGAGCTCTAACTGGCCGGCATGATCTTTTCCTGGGAGCTGTTGACAGTCGACTTCAGTCAAAGTATTTCAACATGAATTCCTCAATACGCAGTGCCCCCGTGTTAGCTCATTACTCAGCGTTAGGTCTCTCGCTGCTGGTAGCTCTCTGGTCGTTACAGTCACAAGTAGGGGTATGCACTTGCCATTGATTTCCTATGAATAGCTTGCTGCAGGCCAGTTCATTAAGAAGGTGCTCACACACCACTGGATTAACTGGACTGTAGGCGCATGGGGTGAGGTTGCTGCTTGCGCAATTGTGCTGCGCAAAACTGTTTTATTTTTCAGTAATAGGAGCAGGTAATTTATGAAAGCAAACAAACAAGTTAAAAATTTTGGAGGGTAAAAAGAAGAGTAAAAAGGTCCTCATGGACAAAAAAATCAAGGTTATCTTGAGTATGTCCTGAAAAAATAAGAGGGGAAATGTCTCTTTGCTGGAGTGATGGTCTTCTGGAGTAAAAACAAACCTCACTTTTCAGCCTCTCTCTGCACGCTTGCCTCTCTTCCTCTCCTCGACACATGGCTTGAGGCTGGACTGAGGCTGCAGCTCCACCTGCCCAGCCGTTACTATGGCAACGCTATCTGGGCCTACCAAGACCTGAAGCCGAAGGACATCCTGGACAACAATACAATAGAAGCACAGCCAGGGTACCTGAGGGACTTAGACCTGAGAGGCGAGATCTGGGGGGGTTGCAGGCCGAGTAAATCCTCCCTCTTTCTCTACCTCTCTCTCACTCTCTCTCTCTCACACACACACAAACACACACATACACACACACAAACACAGTCAGGATTAAGCGGTTGCTTGAGAATCTAAGAGGTGGCGGAACAATACTTGGCATAAAATGAATCTGCTGTGGCAATTTTGAAAGAATTCTGTAGAAAGAGAAATGACGTGATTGAATTTTGTGGTGAGTACAAAAACTTGATTATTGGACATGTCCATGTGGATGTGGTGTGTGAGACCTTATGCTGCTGTTAGAGGGTCAGGAAACCAGCTGCATATGTCTCATTTAGGATTTTTTATCCCCTGCACAACAAAAGTCATGATGCAGCGTCACCCCTGACTGCAGGGATTGGGCCACACATCCCTGCTGCTGGTGCCAACAGTTGGGGAGTAAGAGAGATGTTTGGGGTCTGTTGGTCTCGCTCGCATTCCTCCATGCACTGCTGCTAAAATAATGAGAGGGAGGGTTACCTCAGGTCGGCCCCAGCTGAGGAATACGGAACATGCATTGTTGTCACTGGCTCCATCTGCGGAGCCCTCTTAAAGCCACAGCACGGATTGAGGAGCCGGACACTGCAACCCACTGTACAGTAGTAGCAGTAGTAATAATAGCAGTTTTAATTTTCCCCACTTATGTTGTTTATTTTATTTATGTTATCATAGATGTCCCCATTGTTGTTGAGTAACTGCATATCAAAGCAAGTATTTGTATTCCACTGAAGCGGTAAGAGGATTTTATTCAGTACTATGAAGTGTTATTAGCCCCACAGCAGCCTACCAGGCAATTGAAAATCTTTATTAAGGAGGAGAGGGAGTCACGCTGTGCTCCGACTGACTGTATACAGTTTCCGTGCATCTTTTGTCTTTCCAGCCTTTAATGGTTTTTGAAACCTTAATTTGTGTCTGTTTAAAATGTGTTTATTTCTCAGCGGGTGCACGATCAACATTGTCCATGTCCATGTTGTGAATTACTCGAGTGTGGGACCTGCTTAGTCATGCTAAAACACACCCGTCTCACACCTCCTCTTGTGTCCCTTTTCACAGGCAGCCTCAGAAACAGGATGTTAATGCTTGATGGAATGCCTGCAGTCCGAGTCAAAGCTGAGCCCCTGGAATCGGAACAAGGGGTAAGAGAGCATGTTGTTTTCCAGACAATTCCCTTTTTTCCTCCTGCTTTCCTTTCCTTCTACCCTCCTCCCGGCAATGGGCCGATAATCACTCCCAGGCCCCGGCAAGTGAGCGAGAGAGCGGAGTGAGTGTGGGGGCTAAGAGGAATGGTCGGAGAGCATGGTAGTGAGTAGGAAGAGGAGAGGAACCGTGAAGAGGAGGGGAAGCTACAGCTGGAGCAGGAATGTATTGGGAGCGTTCTGGGGAGGCGACTGGGGCCAGCGTGGAGTCTGAGCTGGCTGGGGGTGATTGCGCAGATGTAGTCACTGCTCCGGGGAGGAGGGTCACATGGGAAACTCTAAATCTTATCTATCTCTGTCTGTTCCTGCTCCTTTATGTCTCTCAATTTCCCTCCATCCCCTGTTGCCCTTTTTTTCTTTTCTCACGAAACACACACAAATTGATGTCCCTCTTGTGCACATACAGAAATACACACAACACACTGTGGTCCCTCTACAAACACTATCACCATCATCATTTTTGGACTTGATGTTCAATTAAACAGTGTGCACTGACCATGTTGGGTATAATGGAGTTACCTCATGCAGGGCTTTTTCACGGCCCACATACAGTATCAGTGCTCTCTGGTTCCACATACCTAGAAATAAAGTGGTCTTGTTATGGTGAAGCTGTTGCTAGGTTACCAGGGCTTTGTGTTGCTGCCACAGCTGTGTGTGCAGTGAGTGCAGGCCACTTCATATTTGCAATCACGATGAATTAGTGCTCAGTTATTACTGATTTCCATTCATAACAGATCAATAATGTCTCGGCCCCTTAATATATCACCAGGTAGGAGAGGAGTTAGTATCTGTTGAGGCGAATCTGAGAGCGTCAGCCTGTGATGGATGAGAAAATGACTGCTGATAACCCATCAGGTTATCACAGGTCTTGTGGAGAATTGTTTGGCTGGGGAGGTGCGATGTCTCGATAAGGAGTCACGCTGTCTCTCCGTATCGAAGGACTTGACAGGGAAGCAGCAGGTGGTTTCTTTCTGGCTCAAGGGTTCGCGAGCCGCACTCTCGCTCCTCCACCGAGAACCTGGGGTTTGAAGTCCTCCTCCGTACGTGTAGTGATGTCAGTCACAGACAGGATGTGAGCTCTGCAGCCCACACGGCTTTGAAGTGCACTGAGATCCAATCTTGCCCCAGCAGACTTGAGCTTCCCTTTAGATGGCAGAGGCAGACAGACAGTTCAGGCTGCCGCTGCAGAAATGTGGTCTTCATTTGGGTGGCGGGGGGCCAAGGGCTTGCTGGAAATGGTCTGCCTCGTTAGACCGCCTGCAAGGGCCTGGAAAATCTGTCCCGCTTACCAGTATCCCCTAATAAAGACAATGGCATGAGGACGGAGGCAGGCAGGCGGGTCGAGCATATCTTTATATGTGTGTCAGGGTGTGTGAGTATGTGTAGGTTTGAGCGTGCAAGTGTGTTTATGTCTGTCAAAGTGAAAGTGGGGGGGTGGCTACAGTTTTCCATCGGTGCTGCCTGAGATCTGTTGGATAACTTAACCCCAAAAATGCAAATAAGTTTCTGTTTTTCACTTTATTTCCACACAAGTCTTCCTCTTTTTACACAGATGAGTGGCCAATTTAACAGGTTCCTATAGTAACTGACTATATTCCTAACTGCCATTATCATAGTGTTACCAGGAAAGTGAGCACTTTAACACTCTAGATTCAAGAGAGAACACATTCATGTGTATTAATCAAATAGTCAAGATAAAACATGAATACAGCAATATGGTCGGGGATATCTTAGCCTGAATTTAAGCAAAGAGGTGCAAGTCTTTGTGAATGCTGGTTGTGTTAAAGGTGCAGTTTGTAGAATTTAGTGATATCTAGTGTTGAAGTTGCATGTTGCAGCTGAACACCCCTCACCTCACCCTCTCCTTCCAAACATGAAAAAAAACCTGTGGTAACCTTTAATTGTCATAAAAACTCAAAAAGTGTTTAGTTTGTCCAGTCTGGATAAATGTAAAAAACATGGCGGCCTCCGTAGAGAGGGTCCCCTCGATGTAAATATAAAGTATTTGAATATAAAGGGTCTTTTCTGGGGTAAAGAAAACTAAAATTCATACAATTTAGATGAAACGAACTAGTGAAAACATCATGAGCATTATTCAACATTAAATTTCTGCCAATAGATCTCTTTCACCTAAATCTTGCACACTGGACCTTTAAGTGACTTTTTTGCCATTACCTGAGAACTGGAGAACACCGCCTGAACATAACATATCTTGTTAAACTATAGCCGAAGAGGTTACTTTAATGAAAGTAACTACTAGCAACTAGAAGGGAGAGAGCACATGTCTCCACCAAGGCTATAACGCCCCTATCTTGCCATGATAAAGAGAGTGAAAACAAAAACCCGGGTTTCCATCCATTTGTCCAGATCCGCTCCAAAATTTAATGAGGTCTTCCTTGGGTCGTGCCCCACCCCTCCACAAACGTTCATTCATGGAAACTGGTTCAGTAGATTTGGAGTAATCATGTTGACAGACAGACAAACAAATGGCGAATAAAAACACTTGGGGGTTGTTCAGATTGTAAATACCTCTGCCAAAACTAATGCCCCATCTTGCCTTTTTCAATTCATTTAAATTGAAAATAAATCTCCTGAATCTGCCTGTTTGTCCAGATCCACCCCCAAAAAGGGTCTTTCCCTCACCCCTCCACAAAATGTTATTTAAACTCAGTGGTTTTTAATCTAACAGACAAACAAACAGCAGAAAAACAAGTAATGAATAGATCTGTGTTTACAGTAATTATTTAATCTCTTCCTTCTTAAAGGTTCAGTGATGTTTTCTTTACCCTAGAACAGGCCCTTTATATTCAATAACCTTATAACATAACATCGAGGGGGTCCTCTCTATGGAGGGCGCCATGTTTTTAACAGTAGTCCAGATTGGACAAACAATTTCACCACTAGATGTCACTAAATTCTACACACTGTACCTTTAATGTACCTTTTATGTTATTTTTATATTAATATTATTTTATTTCTTTCATGTTTTTGGTGCATTTTTGTGTTGTAAAAAGGTTTTGTAGATTAGGTATGTATGTATTATTTACTACCTTATAATCAGTGGATATATATTCTGATGTTAAAGAGTTCAGTTGCATGCACAGTAGTTTTAAGGCAGAAACTATAAGTTTTGTGAACAGCATTCAGACTACACTTGTGGTTGGCACACCCAAGTGATATACTTTCTTCAGATTCCTCTTTTTTCTCTTCTGCTGTCGCCTTTCACTGGCAGAACTTGGAAAAAAAAAAGCAGAACTTAGCATTGCACGTCTTAAGAGCACGTACTGACAAAGACACGATTTCCAAAACACTGATACAGTATCAGCCTCGATGGAACCAATGGCTTCAAAGCCTTCAGGCGGTGTTGCTGCAGGCGGTCTGTGACACTCACATCCTATATGCAGCATGCAAACACAGAGATCACATGCAAAAGCAGCTGGAGGATAGCTTGAGGCTCTGTCAAGAAAGACTACACGAGGAGCTGCTACGAGAGAAGCTCGGAGGACGTTTGACATCACAGACATACGCGTTGAAAATGAACTGATATTTGTTTTGAAATGTTTTGAAAGGAGACATATCAGGCGTTTCCACTTTTTCTTTTACGCTAGTGTGTTTTGTAGGTTTTTGGTGTAAATACAGCAGCTGCAAATTTAAAATTGAAAAACAGAATCTCCTGAAGTGCCTCGTCAGTAGTCCGAAATACTTCCGGGTCATTGTGATGTCACGTTACATCAATATGACGGGGGTCAGGAGGAAAATCTGGAACCTTGATCTTTTGGTTAAACCTAAACTTTGCTTAGAAGGAAGTCAACAATGACTTTACTTTACACTTGACACCCCAAGGCTACATCACATCGTCTCTGCACTGGCAGCATTTAACCACATTTTTTTGTTTGTAAGCATCACGCGTCTGATGGAACAGATATGCTTCTGTTCCAATCGATCCAGCTGTCCACAGAGTTAGCGTAAAAGCCGCGCATTTCACTTTTGCTGCATGCACTAAAACGCCACCCGCAGCATATTAGGGCATAGTGACTGTGTGTTTGATTCTGTGAACTACTCTCACTACTGCGCCCGAACACATCATGTGCATGGTACAGATGGAGCGCTGAAGCTTGCTCCACTGACATGCTGTTCACACTACGCCTCCTGTAGACATGGTGTCGGCTTCATGAGTACACAAACTCACGGAGCACTGCGGTAGCGCCTGCAGAGCAATTAAGTTTCGCTCGCATCAGGTGATCGGCATCAGCTGCTTCATTCGTGATTCGCCGACAGTGGGTCATTCATTAGCTGCTTCGCTGCCAACTGATGAGTAAAATCCAATCATACTCATAAAGGTGGCGAAGTTTGTAACCTGACAACTGAACTATTATGTTGGTGATCATCTCTATTGTTCTGTGTAATGTCCCTTTATTTAGACACTTGCATTGCACTTGCAAGTGTTACCTTTGTTGAAGTTTACAGTTTACATGGCAGTTCAAAAGTGTCAATGTGTATAACCCACTTTACCACATCTAGAAGCTGTGTACATCTGAGTTTATTAAGGCGGATTAGTTCACCCAGCAGAGCCCTCATTTCTGCCCTGATTCTTTAAGGAGCTCCCTCAAAAAGGCAGTGTCTTTTCCTCCAAATATAACTGTATAACAATTTGCTATAAATGGTCAATTTCATGTGGGAAAGGTCTCTGGCTGAACTGTGCTACTACGAAAAAAATCAACTATGAGTTTCCATGGGGGAGGAGTAATGATTTCTTCATCACAGGACGACTTAAATCATCTTATCAAATTTTACACAGAGACTGTGAATGACGCCCAAAGCTGTTTGTGTTGTCTCGTGATAAAGGAAAAAAAGCCTGAAGCCTTAAGTCCAGTAGAACCCTGCTGTAAGTGCTCAGTGGGTGGTATTATGAAGGAGAGCATAATGAGCTGTGAACCTTGACCTGCCACCACTGAACCTGAGCTGAACCCCGCTGAAGTCCAGGGGTCATCGGGGGGCATATTTCAGGAGGTAGGGTTTGTTTTCCAACTGGGGAGGAGTCGCACAGTGAGAGGCACTTTTTGATTCATGGGGTCGTAACATTTCCTGTAGGCTGAAAACCAGTATACAAGTCTGGAGTAAAAATAGTACACATAAAGGAGCATGCACACACACACACTCCGAAAAATTCGTAATACACCGCAGATCCTCTCAGCCAGCATTACATAAGGGGAAAGAAATGTGAGTCTGAAAAACAAAAGTGAGCAAGAAAATCCACAGCACAGAACATTTTTACATTTTCTGCTGCAGCTGCGATCAGAGTTTTTTTTCCTTTAACTTTAATGAGCTTTTCCTTTATGATTAGTAAAAAAAAAATCCTGGACGTGCTCACTCCCTGACGGGCTTAAGTGTGAGCCTTCCACTGAAAGACTCCACTGGGAGGATCAACAGCGCTCGCCACTCGCTCTCACACCCCTCCCACATCGAACACAGTGGGCCTGGATCGGCTACATTAATTTGACATTAAAACTAAGACGCTGATGACAAAGTACTCACGAGAAACAAATAGAGTCAGGGTGCGTGTTGTTTTTCCGACTTTGCGTGTTCTCTATTATCTTTTCCAAGTAAACAGGTTCCTGAAACTTGCGCAGACAGATGGAGCGGTTGTGTTACAGCTAGTCTGCTTGGTGTTAAGTGAAAGATATGTTGAGGGATATGCCGAGCCACCAGCGTTGGCCTTAGGAGGCCCATCGCTGAGAGACAGAGGGAGAGAGACGGTCAGGAAATTGAGCCCATATGATGTTTTTCCACCGTCACAAAGGAGATTTAGGAGAGATACAAGGGGGAGCCAAGAGAGAGCTGCGTTTCTGTGGGAGTGATGGAAAACAGGAGGAAGAGAGAGAGAGAGAGAGAGAGAGAGAGTGAGAGAGAGAGAAAGCAACCTACGCCGAGAAAGAGAGTGAAAGGAGGCGAATGTGAGAGACACTATCTTTACTCCTGTATTTCATCTGTGTATGACATCATGCTAACCGAGGGGAGTTAAAAGCTTGAATGAACATTCTCTATAAATGTCACCACATACTGTATGTACCTCCCTGATATCTCTGTCATGCACTATTGTTGTTTCCGAAGCTGATTTATAAATCTATAATACATAAAGACAAATGTTCTTGACCTTCATTCATCAACACATCACCTTTTTGGTTAATGTGACAGCTCAAATTACTGCAGGACATTAGTGGAAACATTCAAATGAATCCCAGAAATACATCACAGGCAAATTGTTTCACATTTATCTTTCCTCTTGAGACGTTGAAATGAATCTGACATCATTGTTTCTTTTCCTCCCACAGTCACCTAAAGTGCGCCCTTATTCTGCGATGGACGGCGTCCCTTTTTTCCTCAGCAGAGTTAAACCTGAACCTCCGGAGGACCTGCTCGCCCACGACCTGCACTTCCACACGCAGACCGAGCCCGTCGACCTGTCGATCAACAAATCCCGCCCCTCCTCCTCATCCATCCTCCCCACCACCACAAACTTATCATCCTCCCCTCTCAGATCCGCCTTCTCCCCGTCTTCGTTATCGTCGTCATCCTCCTCCTCCTCATCTTCCTCCTCTCCATCAGTTATCACCTCAGCCTCATCGGTGCTCACGCCAGGCCCCCTGATCGCCCCTGGCGCCGGGGTGAGAGGTCAGCCGTATTTGCACATCCTGCACTCTGTGCCGCCTCCTCCATCCAGCCCTCTGAGCCTGCAGGGAGCAGGGAAGCTGGGCAGCCATGTTCACCGCATCCCAGTTGTGGTACAGTCACTGCCCCTCATGTACACCACTGCCGTTCGATCGCCCTCCAGCCTCAACAACGCCATCGTGCTACCTCTACTGGATGAGGTCAAAAGCAAGAGCAAAGGTGAGGCCATCGTCTCCAAACTCACACCATATTCATACGGATGACTTCAGATTTATATTAACACTTTTTTCATAATTTTCAGTTAGAAATACTGAAATCTCTCCAGTAATCATTCAAGCACTGTTGGATCTGCAAAGGAAACGATGACGCTGATTCAGACTTAGTGCTACTGCCTCATTAATGTATTAGTTTTACATAAGCTGTCTGATGTGTCTCCCATGAAGCTCTAGCCTCCAGCTTTAGTGAGAAATTCAAATTGAAATCCATTTAATCGCATGAATTATTCGGTTGAAACTATGATAGTAAAATATTTGTAATCATCAGTTGTCAAACATCACAATACACTAAAGAAATATATCTTATTTAAGGAGTCTTCAGAAGTCCCCGGAAATAGACCATGTTCAAACCCATAGTATCCCCAATTTTATATTTATTATTTATTTATTTGATTGCCTTTTAATTGCATCAAATCCACTTTCAGTTAGCCAATAAGCTAAACATTGTATGATAAAGGAACAAGATACTCATGGCCAGTTAGCCATTTAGCTCATACTGCTAGCCAGTTAGCCACTTAGCTAAACAACATATGATAAAGTAAAAACATACTGCTAGCCAGTTAGCTAAATGAAGTATGACAAAGTAACAACCATTCCTAGCTTTTTAGCTTTTTTTCCTTTCTCCTGTTTTCGCCTAATATGAATAAAACTTAAGTAATAACCTGATCTGTGACCATGATGAGTCACATCAGGTAGATTTTTATCAGCGGTGGTGGTGATACCACTTTGCGTCATTACGTCATCAAACAAGATGTTCAGCTATTGTTTTGATCAAGAGACCCCTAGTGGCTGAAGTTACACATTGCACGTTTAATTGAGAAGCTTGTTGTTGAAATGGAATAAAATGAGTCTATATCTGTGTTTGGCAGTTTTGGAGTCAGAGACAAATGATGACACGGACAGGTCCTGGCTAACTTAAGTTCAGATAGATGCAATACCCGTGTGATGCAGCAGGAGTTATGCCAATGACAAGCTGGGTTTAGTTGTGTATTTTGTCTGGCAGACGTCCTGCGCTGTCTTCAGTCAAAGCACTTGCAGACAGTGCTGTGAAGCCTCACTGTGTGTGTTTATATGCTTTTAGAGACAGCCCGTCAGGCGGCAATGTTCCCTTCAGAGAGAAGACAAGGTTTGCAGGTTGAAAGGCTCTTAAATCTTTTACCGAGAGAGATTTCGCTTGGCTGTCATAAATAGTCTCTGGTGTAGGTAAGCAGGGCCGCACCAGTTGTTGCCTTTCCCTTTATAGAGACGCAAACATCTGGGGCAGTTTGAGTATTAGTCCTCTCTAGCCCAACCTAGACAGGGTTTTTTCTCTCTGGGTGTGGTTTTACTGCCATCCACTGCGAGTATTCCGATTGTAGGTGTTTCTGTGAGCAGCACACAGGGCGACTGTTGGTTATAAGAGTTTGCTTTTTTGTCACTCCCTCGCAGGTTGGACAGGCACACTCAGACTATTAGTCACACCCATTCGTGTACTGTACATACTTGCAAACAAACAGAGATATGTAATTAGAGCGTGCGCTCAGACAGACATTCGGCTGGCAGGGTGGGGTGGTCCTCGGAGATGGGGCGTTTTAAGTGTTGGATGTCTGCTCCCAAGGAGAGCGGAGGAAAGAAGTAAGAACAGGAAAAACAAGACTTACATAAGAGGGTGTGGATGGATATTGAAGATGGGTGGCACTTAGACAAACACATGCACAGACGTCCACGGTCCAGCTTTAACTCTGCTCAGCTCTGAAGTTACCAAGCTGAAAGGAAATTGGGTGAATGAACAGTAGACCATTGGGTGTGGTGGATACAGTGGTTTAATGAGACAGCAACCAGTAAACAAAGGGAACATTTAGCTACTTGAACTCAATGTGACTGGATGAGAACATTTACATAAAACCTTAAACAGTCAAAATCTAATAAAAAGTGATGTAGTACTACAAGAGCTCGTATTACACTTCTGTAGGGATACGATATGACCTGAATGTCAGATTAAGATAAAGATAACAAACAACTTTTTGACCGTATTAATTGCAGACACTTCTTTGGAGACGTAAGTTCCAATGGCAGCTGTTTCCTCTTTCCACCCTGGTGATTTATCTGCCATATGTTGTGCTGCAGGTAAAAGCCTCTTTCAACATCTGAGTTTTGGTTTTGACCAGTCAACTGTAATTCTTTGGCTCTCATCCTGTTTTCAGTTTTGTGGTCTACGTCAGACTTAGAGGTACTTCTAGGTACAAGCTCCTCATTTTGTCTTGACTGGTCAGAATCCTTTTTCTGGACACCTTGATGCAAATGTCCTCCCCGCATCTGTGCCATGTGGAAGAACGTCATCCAAATTATGGAAAATATGGGCGTAATGATTTGTGGCAAAGAAAATAAAAGAAGTGTAATGGGGAATCTTGTTCTTTGAAGGAGGTTGATTGACTGATTGATTGGTTTAATGGCCAATCACAATCTAATCTCAGCCTTGGATGGCCAGTCACAGCAGATAAGTCTTTTTCAGTCTGAAATTGCATCATGTAGGGTTCCTTTGGAGCAGGGAGTGCAATTTAGGCACAACAATAAAAAGACCTTAAGTACAAATCGCTTTCTTTTGTTCGTACCAATGGAGCTGATCAAAAACAAAAGATTACGAACTACGATGGCACTTAGAGGGTGCATACATTGGCCAAGGCCCAAAAGTCATGAAATGAAACCACATTTAAATGCACTAGATCCAGATTTTTATTTGGGCAACTTGCACCCACTCATAAATATCAGTCCCCTCAACGAGTCAGATTTCTTTTCTGAGAAAGTAATGAAAATGTTGAAAAACGCCCTATTTTGCAGTGATAAAGAAAGTAAAGCGAAATACTTGCTCTGCCCCCTGATTAATCAAAATTTAATAAATTCTCTCTTGGCCCATAGTGCATCCTTCCTCCACGATTCAGAGCAATCTATTCAGTAGTTTTTCTGCACAACAACTGGCATTTTATGTCATTATCTAGTATATATACTGTATATTGTATAGCACAGCTGTCGTCCTTCTGGTGTTTTCCCTGTAAGATGTCACTGTTGGTTTATAACTGGACAAATAAGTTGTTGACATCACGGAGGTCACAAACTGAAGCCCTTTCTGCTCATGTCAAGATTAATGTGATTATTGAAGCTCTCAACATAGATACACTATGGACAACACACACACTCAACCACTCTCCCACGTGCAC